TTGTAAACCAGTTTTATAGGTTAGCGTGTGGTGCAAACAATGGCAGTTGTGGTTTATTCAACAAGCATGGTAAAGCAAAGCATAGCTTAATATAGCATGTGAACCAGGTCTACAATTTAGCATGTTGATTCAAGTCATTATCAGAAGGTTTGATTGTGGAAGTTCAAGAGTGAAAACCTGTAGATCGCCATCAACCATGGAAACAGCTGTTCCTTAGAATCTTCCTTTTGATAAACAAGCTTTTCAGAATATACATTCACGTATACTTTTTCTCGTAGGTGAGCTACAGGGCTCAGAAAGGGATGACCAGAAGTGCAGTGGTGAAAATGGCTATGGTGTGGATCGCAGCATTTCTCCTTTATGGTCCAGCCATTATCAGCTGGGAGTACATAGCCCAGCAAAGCATCATACCTGAGAAAAAGTGTTATGCTGAGTTCCTCCACAACTGGTACTTCCTCATGATCGCCTCCACCATTGAGTTCTTCACACCATTCATCAGTGTCACATACTTCAACTTAAGTATCTATTTCAACATTCGCAAGCGGACACTGGTCAGAAGTGAGAACTCCTCACCAGGCCAAAAGGATTGTGAACTTTTTTGCTGCAGGAAGAAACAAGAGCATGCCATCTTTTTCACAAAAAGAAAGGACAAAAGGAATGAAAAGGTGAGCAACTTCACGCCTAGCAAGCCTGCTATCGCGAGGCTCAGCATCCACAACCTTCAGACTCACTCAGTAGAGTTTAACATCAATCAAGATTTTCCGCCTTTGCAGGTAGACATTCAAACCAAATCACCATGGGGTGGTTTCTACAAAGCTCTAGAGACCATATCCAGCAGCACACAGAAAGCAGAGGTTGCTAATACTGCGGCTAGCCGGTTTAGGCTTTCCCGAGATAAGAAAATAGCCAAATCTTTAGCCATTGTCGTCTGCATCTTTGCTGTATGTTGGGCACCCTACACCCTTCTAATGATCTTCAAAGCTGGTTGCCATGGGCAATGCATCCACAATTATCTCTATGAAGCATCGTTTTGGCTACTGTGGTTGAATTCAGCCATTAACCCAATATTATATCCCTTGTGCCACATGAGTTTTAGGAAAGCCTTTTTTAAATTGCTCTGCCCAGGCAAGGCAAAAATCCACCCAAATATTTTTACGTGAGAGAACACTGAAGGGAGGAGAAGTTTCTGCATAGATATCTTTGACATCTCATAAAACCACTGAACATATACTTATCCTCCACGTTTGAAGGACATCTTCAAACATTCTATCCTGAGATATTCACAAACTTCTAGATCTTTTGGTAAAAGTGAGGGAATTGACAAAACTCAATCCTGATTTCAGAAAATGCAAGAATTTACAATACTCTGCAGTGCTTACGTATGCAAATGAGTACTAACTTATTTTCCAGTACTTAAGCTCAACGCACTTTGTAAATTCCCAACGGGGTCCTCATTCTTAAGAATTAATGTAATTCTGATAAAACAGCTAACTACTGGACATTGTACGCTTGTGTTAAATTACTGCAAAAAAATAAAAGGCAGTTTCCTTTTGCGTGTAAGGGTTTTGCGCTGATGTAGGATTTTTTGACTTGTCCACCTTATACCCCAGAAAACACAATGCAATGGAGCATCTCTCACTAGATCAGTGTTGTCCAAACTTGGCCACTTTAAAATGAGTGGACTTCAAATCCCAGAATTCCCCAGCCAGCCACCCTAACCCTAACCCTAACCCATGCTGGCTGGGGAATTCTGGGAGTTGAAGTCCACTCAT